CAGTTAGTTTTGGACCCTGGCAGATGATTCATACCAAATATCATGTTGCAGAAAAATACCTTAAACTTTCCGTGATTTAAAAAATCCACTTTCATCAAAACAAGCGTTTTTTCGCCAAATTCTCCAGATTCGATCAACATTTAACTGTTTGTTTGTTTTTTTATATTCATACTAGGTTTAGACAGTCATTTATATATTCGAACAAATATAATTAAATGGAATAATAATCGCAGATAACAGATGTCCATGAATTTCATAATTTGTTTTATAATCCGAAAAAAAAAACATAATTATTTCAAATGAAAAACAAAACAAACACAATTTTGAATGTATGCCGTATCCCCCCTAAAATATTAACATTTTATAGCCAAATAATAATTGTTTAACATTTAAAATCGAATTTTGCGCGACGTACTCTCAAAATGTTCTTTTAATTTTTTTAGTAATCCTGTTTACATCAAACTGTAAGTGTAATGATACATTGCAAAACAGGTCCCAGGGTTCTCGTTTGATCGGAAGTTAAAACTATCACCACAACCACCACGGAGTACAACCTCAATTACAACATACAAAATCTTTAGAACGGTACAAAATTGTCTTTGGTATAGCTGTCATGTGTGTTTTTTTTTCAATTATTCTTGTTTGGATATGGAGAATAAAAAATCACAATACGTTCAGGTATTAGAACAAAAGGAAAATAAAAGGAAAATTAAAGAAAATACTGAGCCAGAAAATGATACATCAAGAGCTCATACATAGATATATAAGATAATTCTATTTCCCGAGACTATTACAATGTGTATGCCTTAAAGTGAGAAATGTTTGCCCTTGACCTGGTCCGATTGGGAATTTAAAGCGCAAAGAATATTATATTACTATGGAAGATTAATTAATACTGATAAAATTGTAAATTCGGCGCTATAATCCGAGCATAGGTTCCAGTGCCAGACCTGGGGATTGATCAGTAATTTACTTAATTACAATTACTTTCAGATTTTATTGTTATAAATTATGATTGAATTCTCAGATTTGCCTCTGTAATCAATTAAATAACATAACAGAACAGAAGAAAACGTTATTTTACTTTGATTTGTACATAAATGTAGTACATTATCAGAAAAGTACAGAACATTAATTAACTCAAGTTACATATAATATAACACATGAGTATACATAACAGTGGTGAATACTTGTTAATTTTAACACATGACATGATATTTTTTTAAGGTATTTGTAAGAGGAAAATAAATAATTATCATGAGAAATGAAAAAAGAAAAAAAAACAAACAACTACCGCCTGAAGATATTCATGATTTTCATAATACATTGATCAAAATGTATAAACAATACATTTTCAATACTTATATTTAATTAATGATAACAAAGTTTAAAGTCAACGTCACGTTACATTTATCCGGCTTCATCCGAGACCCACATAGGCCCTTGTTTGTCTCTTGCGTACATATTCAACGACCATGTCTTGTTGCAAGAATATGCAAGTATATGAATTGAGACATGTAGATAGTATATTCTATCTATAGTTTACGTTTTCTGATTGCTAAAAATACTGTGTAACTTAATGATATATGTTTTATAAAGTGTGACATTGACCATTTGATTGTATTGTATGCTTTGTTATATGTACTGTGTATGCATGGACATATTGTCCAAATGTACTTTGAAATAAACTTGAAACTTGTCTTGTTGCAAATTAAAAAAAAAATCGTGATATAACAATAACATCATTTTTTGGGAATGCCGTTAGGGCCATCGCCTATGAATGTGTTGATCTAACACGCGATAGTCGATAGTACGATGGTGAAAACGCGAAATCACGAAACTACGATGGTGAAAACGCGAAAGCACGATGATGAAAACGCGATACTACGATGATGAAAACGCGACAGTACGATACTACGATGATGAAAACGCGATAAACTATCGTGTTTTCACCATCGTACTGTCGCGTTTTCACCATCGTAGTTTCGTGATTTCGCGTTTCATCATCGTACTGTCGAGTATCGCGTTTCAGATCAAACCATTTATAGGCGATGGCCCTAACAGCATTCCGGAATGCCGTTAGGGCCATCGCCTATGAATGTGTTTATCTGAAACGCGATAGTCGATAGTACGATGATGAAAACGCGAAATCACGAAACTACGATGGTGAAAACGCGATAGTACGATGATGAAAACGCGATAGTACGATGATGAAAACGCGATAGTACGATGATGAAAACACGACAGTACGATGGTGAAAACGCGATAGTACGATGATGAAAACACGACAGTACGATGATGAAAACGCGATAGTACGATGGTGAAAATGCGATAGTACAATGATAAAAACACGACAGTACGATGATGAAAACGAGAAATCACGAAACTACGATGGTGAAAACGCGACAGTACGATGGTGAAAACACGATAGTTTATCGCGTTTTCATCATCGTAGTATCGTACTGTCGCGTTTTCATCATCGTACTTTCGCGTTTTCATCATCGTGCTTTCGCGTTTTCACCATCGTAGTTTCGTGATTTCGCGTTTTCACCATCGTACTATCGACTATTGCGTTTCAGATCAACACATTCATAGGCAATGGCCCTAACGGCATTCCGTACATTTTCAGTACAGATATTGCGACATTTTGTTTCAGTTTTCGTCAACTGAAAGGACACTTAAAGAGATTAGGTTTGAAAAGAAGACAACCATTGGACTTCGGCCAGATTGAAGCAGCGATACAGGTACAGTATACATTCTTTCTTTATCTATTTACATGTAAAAGCTTAAGATGGCAGTAAGAGTCTTGTCAGATGCACAAGTTACTGCAAACTATAGACATTTTTACGACGCGGTCCGTTGCTATGAACAATCGACCGGAATTAGAATTTTCTCGCGCATGCACAATCTGCGTAGGGCAAGAAATGCTTCGCCCTACATAGAAATATAGTAGAAGTTCATAGACAATTCCGAGTTTGTTCAAGGTAAACGGTAGAAAATTATATAAACTAGCTTTTAACAAAAATATATATGAGCCGCGTCATGACAAAACCAACATAATGGGTTTGCAACCAGCATGGATCCAGACAAGCCTGCGCATCCGCGCAGTCTGATCAGAACCCATGCCGTTCGCTTACAGACCCTATAACAAGTATAGAACTGATTGCGAACAGCATGGATCCTGATCAGACTGCGCGGATGAATTTACGATCATGGACCTGACACTGAGATCATTTTTTAAAGAAGATGTGGAAATGTATGTATTAGCAAATGAAAAGTCAACTTATTTTCTGTTGAAATAGTTCATTTAAAAACAATGAAATTATATAACATGAAATGGAGATTAATTTTCATTCAGAAAAAAATACCAGAACAGGTGATAATGCATTTTTAGTGTTCAATATAACTGATGATATCCTTTATCCGATTTGCCTGTGATGCAAACAGAAAAAATTAAGTAACATAGATAGATTTTAAATATTTTTTTTTCTTCAAAATCTTGAGAAATTAAGATGAGTTGTTTGGAAAAGATCTTGATATGTTAATATCATCATTTTTTTCTCTCTTTTTTTTAATCAATACAAGTTCATCTATAATTGTCATAATTAATACGAGTGTCAGTCGGATGAATGAATAAAAATTATCTGACCTTTACATTATTTTTTTTTTATTTTTTATTTTACCAAAAGATTTTAAATATTTGTATAATTCTACATTTTTCTTTGTTATTGTTAAATCAGAAGGCCATACTCAAAATAAGTGTACTTAATACTGTGAACTTTGTATGTTACCTTCTATTTTGAATGCACAAATAACAACGGCAAAAATCCTTACTGTAATCCATAAGCGGTCTGGTTAAGCTTATAGAATTATCAAATATCGGTCCTTTATCCTGCTCTCATATTTTTGTGTATGTGTGTTTACTTTTGATTGAGTAGCTTGAAAGAGAAATATAACGGTGTTTTTGTTTTGGGTTTTATATATTTTTTGCATAGCAGACTGGCGTTTCCGCTAGTTGTACCCATGCTGGAAATTTCATCTGGCATGGAGGATGCCAGATAATTCGCCTGACATACAACAACATCATTTTAGCGCATATTATGAAGTACCGCGCTAAAATTACGTCATTTCGAATTTTAGAAGGGAACTATGTGCTTAGCATTACGTGTTTCGCCGTTGTTAATAAAGTTGTCAATTCATACGCTATTGTAAGAAAATATTTATGGGTGGAATGATATTAATTTCCATGAACAAATATCTTATTGAGGTAAACCATTTTAAATATGAAATAATATGGCAGAATATGCAAGAAAAAAATATCTGAGATATGTTTGCGGTTCAGATTGAAATATCCGTCCCTCGGGAACCTGCCCAAAGGCGGTAATTCGGCATATATATATTTTCAAATTGATTTTTTTGCTTTCCTGCAGAATCTGGTTTAACTTTAGGAAGCAGATGCTGTAATTCTATATTATGATAATGATAATGATAATAATAATAAGCTGCTACAAGTGTTATGATAATATTCACTCTTATCTGAACTACTGCCAACATAATGACGTCTAAACAGTTCAATGTTGTTTTCTAAAAAAAAAACCTGTTAAAATTCATTGGTTTGCATAACAACAAGGTATAGATCTCATTCTTTAGGATAGGATGAGCTTTAGGGATGTATAGAGTTGGATGCCTTATAGATACTATCAAAACACATGTTAGGTAGAGGTCTGATACCAATAAGTCATATATATATTCGTTAATTTCAGAAAATATTATGCAAAGTATCTCTATGGGTTTTCCTGAAGCCTATGTCGGATCATTTAATCGCCTTTGTGGCCTGTAATTCTTTAAAATGGCATTAATAAGTAGTTTATAATATTGAATTCTTCTCGCTAGTACCTCTCTGTTTTGCATTTTTAGATGTCTTTTATTATATTGTAAAAAGTTTCAGCTGACCAGCCATTGAAATTGTCACTTAATGAATGAATATTCTGCCTGAATACACACATTTATTTATATTCATCTTCCAGAAATATAAAATGCCAATGGAGGTCACTGATGAAGAATTGTTTGAAGGGTTCATAGCAGATCTGGAAGAACGTTCTAAGCCAAGTAAGAATGATATAAGATACGAAAGATATGTTAAGTATATCAATTGCTTCATTAGTAAGTTCGGAAGAGAAAGAGTGTATCTTGTAGGAAGTACGAGTGAGCGATCAAAACTTGCTTTTTCAAAAGACAATGGCGATGCTGACTTCTTAATGGTTTCTGGAAAGCTAGAGATTCCGGCTGAAAACTTGGTATCAAATCGTGAAGCCCCATGCTTTGTTTGGATTCGTGAAGACTCATGTAGCAGAGATATTGGCCTCGAAGTTGTTGGGGATGAATATATCTCTGCTAACACTCTGCGAGAAGTACGACCAGAGTTATTTACCATCTTAAGAGCGATTTATTTGCATGTCACTGCTGCTGTGAACAAATTACCAGAAACAGATGAGGACATGACTATTCTATCTGTTTCCTCAAAGGTTGGCATACAAACAACAACATATAGGTCATTAAAGTTTGAAGAAAAAATTGAAGATTTAAAAGAGTTTTTTCTAAGTAACGAAAATAATGAAAGAGCAAATGAAAAAGAAAAACTGCTTAAAGATAGATGGAAACAAGTAACAGTTAGTGAATGTGAGAAAAAGATTTATAGACGGTTGTATGAAGCATCGAAACTTGCCATACCTTCTGACAGAAAGAAAAATAACGGAGGAATAGCTTTCTTTGTGCAACTCGTTGAAGAATACTTAGCCAGACAAAGTGGTGCATTACCCAAAACACCTTCCGATGAAATGAACAATTTTCAGACAAATCATGACAATGACACTGATCAGAATAGCTCGAAAATGGTAGATATAGCTTGTAATAAGGACAAATTATTTAAAGCAACATACACAGAAAAATGTCACAAAGATTTTGTTCCAGCTTTGGTTATTACAGGAGAGTTGGAGGATATGAGACTATGGAAAAAACGAGTTCTTTACAATGGATGGGACGAGAACAAGGTGAATGATATTTGTGATACAGAAATATTTGTCGTATCAAGGGTCTGTCCAAAAAGTCCAAATGCTGAAAAAGATTTTTGCTTGTCGTTTAACCTGGCCGAGCGAAAGTTAATGATGGCAATGTCAACTGTGGAAAAAAGAGTGTTTTTGATACTAAAGGCATTTTTAAAAGGTGTTTTTGTCAACAGGCATAAAGAACAAGACAAAGAACTGAAGCTTACAACTTATCACATCAAAACACTTTTGTTTTGGCTCTATGAACAAAACAAAGGGGAAGATACGTGGTCTGTTCAGAAGCTTACAGACATCGCTTTGGCTGTTCTTCTGGAAAAATTACAAGTGAAGGAGCTCTCGCACTATTTTATACCTAGCAGTAACCTTTTTCTTGATTTTGAGACTTCAGATTTTCAGTTATTGATATATTGTGTACAGGAAGCTTGGAATTCTTTATAAAGTTAAGATACGTTAACAGGGGAGATTACGTTCACGAAGGAGGATATGGATTGCTTTTGGGGCATGTCCGCCGATGGAGGAAGAAGTGAACAGAGAAACAAACTAGAAGAGGCAATGATCGACTTTCAGAGAGGCATTTATGATAAAAGAATTGAAAATGGTGATTCTCCATTACAGCAGGCGATTTCAGAAACCTTTGAGTTGTGCCTCAGAGACGATGGATGCATAGATGTTTCGCAGTTTGAAGCGATACATCTATTGATAACAAAAGGTGATGGTGATATTATTAAATTTAAAATGGATGAAAAGACAAAAATGGATGGCAAGGAAAAGGTTTCACTAAGAAAGAAGACTGGCATGATTTGCATGTGGTTTAGTCTGAAATTTATATAGATTTTAGCTCGACTGGGGTTATTACTCCCTACGATTTCTATTGTCCTTTACTTTGGTACTTTTAACACAAAGATAAAACAGTTGGTAGATAAATTTGGAGGACCGCCAGGGGTAATGGATATTCTACGTGGAGCATTTTGTGGAAAACTTTAAAGAAGACGTTAAAAAGCAAATTTTAGAGACTGTTGGTCGTTATTTCTATTGTCCCGACGCAGAGGTAGGTGTAACATGTTCTTAGTTAAAGTATCAATTAGCTTGGTATTTCCGCTGCAGAAAAGAATTCTCAGACCTATCGGAAATACGACAAGTTTAACACGTTTAATACATTCAATTTGCTGACACGAATTGTTCTTGCTAGTAAGCCAGCCAAACAAATTTCAATAATCTTTCGTGTTTTAATTACAATATAACAATATGAAAACGCTTTTGACGATTAAAACAAACAAAATAAATGAAGGGGGAATTGTGATAGACAGCGATTCATTTTTTTTCCGTCGTACATAATCGATGTACTTTTACTTTTATATCTTTATTATTAAAATTCGTTAATAGCAAACAGTATTTTAATAGTTGTTATTACGGTGACATGCGTTGTAATTTATTATTTGACATTTGTGATTTAATAGTTTGCCAATACTTCAACAGATTTAATTTAACCTATCTGAAAATTTCTATATTTCACTTAAAAGTTTTATACTATATAAATAGCACATGTATAAATCTACATGAACTTAAATCGGGAGATCTTGAAAGAAAATAATTCATTAGTACTGACCTGAAATAAACACAAAAGAGTAACCTTTACATTATCGTATTATGTTTCTATTTATTTCTTGATCATATGCTATTTTTATATTATTATTGTTAATTTGTATCTGATAACATTTAATGACTTACTACAGTTATTGTTTTGATAAAGACACAAAGGTTTATTTTAAGGTGAATACTCGTTCATGTTCAAGATGTATAAAGAATTGGAAGTACATGTATAAAAACATGTTGTGTGTTTTTTGTGTTTTTTCCCGCAACCACAACAATATAGCAATAATTAATTTGTTACATACGTGCATATACTTGTATAAAAAAAATTATGTGATTGTATATATAAACTATTTTTAATTTAATGGGCTGGTGGTTCAATCCTGGAGCAAAGCGAATTTTCTTCGTGACAATTCAGTACCAAAATTACCTTAGAGGGGGCTTGATAGTTGGCTTTTGCGTCGTTTTGTAAATAATGGAGGATGTCTATCAACATGAAAAGAACAATACGTTTTATTACATATCCAATTTTGCAAAAAGAAAGTTTAATTAAGATATCTTTGGTCTTCTGTTGAGGCAGGCAAAACAAATTTTAGGGGATTTTTGTAATAGTTAAATAGTATACCATGTATATAAATAAATGAGGAGAAAGGGCCAAAAAAATCTCGAAATGAGGGCTTGGCAACTTATATCGGACATTGAGTAAATGAATCATGAAGGATAATTAGACTGACACTTTCACTTTCACTAGTAAGTTATCCGGGAAAACCTTGTTAAGTGGTCTGACCACTTAAATATGAACAAAATGTGTTAAACGGCTGGGAAAAAACACTAAAAACAAACCAGGTAAAAAAGTCATTTCATGTATAACAAAAAATTTTGCTCTTGTTCGTTTTTATGGCTAGGCGTAATTTCTCCATGACAAGTGATCTGGACATAAGGTCTAATGGTCATTGTCTGTTACCGCTGATCTTGGACATAAGGTCTAATGGTCATTGTCTGTTACCGCTGATCTTGGACATAAGGTCTAATGGTCATTGTCTGTTACCGCTGATCTTGGACATAAGGTCTAATGGTCATTGTCTGTTACCGCTGATCTTGGACATAAGGTCTAATGTTACCGCTGATCTTGGACATAAGGTCTAATGGTCATTGTCTGTTACCGCTGATCTTGGACATAAGGTCTAATGATCATTGTCTATTACCGCTGATTCATGATGGGATATGTAGTATGTCACTTGCGACATTACTGATAAGTTATAAGGTTAAGTCTATTTGTTGGATATATTGCCGAGATTTAACAAAAAAGGGTTAAAATCGGTGTTAAAAACAACAGAAAAACAAACAAACAAACAATCGAAAATTTGCAACGTTCAAATATATTTCATTCTAAATCTCGATTTTTTTCCAGAAACTTGAAAATGTGGTATTGCACCGATGAGGAAAATTAAAGAATGCATACCAGACCTTGAAAAGCGTGCTAACCAAGCAAAAATGATATACGATACGCGAGATTTGTTAAGTCGATAAATTGTTTCATCAGTAAGTTTGGAAGAGAAAGGGTGCACCTTGTTGGTAGCACAGGCGAGCTCTCCAAACTTGCGTACTCCAAAGATGATGGGGATGCGATTTTTTATGTTCTGAGAAAACGGGTGTTTTCCTGTTGAAAACCTATTTAAAAAAAAAAAGGACCGTTTTTACGTGTTATACAGCAATTCTTGCATAACCATGGTGTAGATTATTCTAGGAAAAAACCTTTCAACTAAATTTACGCAATGTAGGCCCAGAGGTTTTTACTTACTAAGGCGGTTATTTCCCTGTCACTACAAAAAGGGAAAACCAACTGCCCGAACCCGGAGAAAAATTTAACAATGCTGACGGTATCTTCAAAAGTTGGATAACAAATAACGAAATATATAGGATTTAAGTTGGACAAAGGTGTAGAAGATATCAGAAAAAAAATTACCTAACACAGGCGCAGAAAGAAGTAAAAGTGTTTGGTCTAAGGTTTTGAAGAATTAAGCAATTCATGACTTTGAAAAGAAAATTTATAGGAGACTATATGAAATAGGGAAACTGGCTTTTCTTCTGGATGAATGGAAAAGAGATAATGGAGGGATAGCCTTTTTTGCTCAGATAATTCTTTATCAACGACCGCACAGTTATATCAGTCATTGTTCAAACAGCAACGATGAAGATGAGAATGTCCTATATCAAAATGATTTGAATTGTGTCGATCATATAAACAGCAACAAAGCTGCATTTAGAGCAACCTTATCGAAGACAAGTCATAAAGACTTTGTGTCTGTTCTAAAAATAAAGGGTACGCTTAGATGTATGGAGAAATGAAAAACCCGGGTAGAATAGTTAAAATGGTCCATGGACAGGGTTGACAGAATTTTCAACACAAAAGTTTTCGAGGCAGCAAGAATGTCACCGGTAAATCCAAATCCAGAAAAGGATTTTTGTTTGTCATTTAATATACCAGAGAAAGAGATGATGTTGTCAATTTCTCCAGTGCAGAAGAAAGTATTTTTGATCATGAAAGCTTTCTTAAAGGGTATAATTGAAAAGCGTTATGCTGAACTTAGAAAAGAGCTGACATTAAAAACTTACCACATCAAACTTTTATTCCACAATGTATCAAGGTCTTGGACGTTATCAGAAAATGTTCTCTTTGGTTATAAATATTTCAATTTGTTATATGCATGTCCATAATGTATCAGACACATCATGGGTTCACCAGTTATTTCGGCTTCTTTGTTTGTTTGTTTGATAGATTGCTTTTCAAAGGAACCGTTTTTCAGATTTTTCTTCTTATCTAGGAATACTTTTATCCTATGTGAACTTTTTATTTCAATATTTCGTCAATGTCTTTATTATTAACCAATTAAAGTTTTTCATATTAAACATTCAGTTAGTTTTGTACAATTTAAGTAATCAGTTGCATGAAAAGTACAAAAATTATATAAAATATAAAACTTTGACATTCTGGGAATGGCTTTTTTTGGATGTCGTCCCAATACATTTGCACTATAATTCTCATTTTTTGAATATTTATTTTTAGATAATTCATGTAACCTTACATGTATTTATGTATTGAATAGTTACGTGAACATATTTTTCTACATTTAATGCAAGACGGCCCCAAAACTTTATCACACCTGGGTGTACACATTGCACTACCATGTTACACTATGATATCACACCGTAATATTACACTATCATACAACACTACCAAATATATTTAAAATATCTGGAAAACAGTGATCTCTCGAAAGCAATAAAAACAGCAAAATTGACTCGGATTGATTGAGTCTGTACATGAGGGATAATGAAAAAGTGTAACATCCCTCACGCCCTCTAGCACCGGCTTGAGAGTTACTCAATTCTCAAGACTTAATAGTGCTGGACAAAATGATCCCGAAGGACCAGAAAAATATAACAATGCCGAATTATAATAACATCATAATACCATTTAACGTTATCATGTCAAACCATCTTATCAATCTATCATATCAAACTACCATATAACAAGCTTATATTAACTACCATACACAGCTATTTTTGTCACACCATCACAAAAAGAATATCACGCCACTGTCTTTTGATATCAATTTTATCAGGCTGATAAAGGCTGAAAAGGTTATCCCTAAATAATCTTTAAACAACAGAAATATAAAGCTTTTATTTGAAAATTAACTGGCTCTGATAATATTTGGAAAAACAAACAACAACATTTAGATGAGGATTGTACGAAAGACCAGTAGTGCCATTTCAACTTTATGATTTCCTGACTTCATCTTCAAGAATTCACATTTTAACTTCGTGAATTCACGTTTTCAACATACGGAATTCACGAATTCACGATTTCAGCTTCATGAATTCGCGATTTCAACTTCACGAATTCACGAATTCAACTTCATGAATTCACGATTTCAACTTCATGAATACACGATTTCAACTTCACGAATTCACGATTTCAACTTCACGAATTCAACTTCGTGAATTCACGATTTCAACTACACGAATTCACGATTTCAACTTCACGAATTCACGATTTCAACTTCACGAATTCACGATTTTAACTTCATGAATTCAATTCACGATTTCAACTTAATGAATTCACGATTTCAACTTCACGAATTCACGAATTCACGATTTCAACTTCATGAATTCATGATTTCATCTTCATGAATTCACGATTTCAACTTCACGATTTCAACTTCATGAACTTGCGATTTCAACTTCACGAATTCACTATTTAAACTTGACGAATTAACGATTTCAACTTCAACGTATATGCCACGTGGCCGTGACGTCATTTGCCGCCATATTGAATGGGTAATGAAATTGCGTGAAAAATTAGTGCTCTTTTACTTACTT